CGTTGAGGCAGACCAAGTTCTAGGCTGTATAAACTTTTAAAGTGCTTTCCGAACTTAAGTTTGCATTGCTGACTTATATGGCTGGGTACTTGGCCTTTGTTTGTGAGCAAAAGGTGACCATTTTTATTTGTAGGAATCGTTGTAATTTCAAAGTAAATAGCAAAACAATAGAAATGTCTGAGTGAAAGCAAGGAAGGCCTAATGTGTAGAACCCGTTCAACTTTGCAGGTGGCATGTCTTGAATGCAAGCTGCAACTTAAGGAAAATGCATCGCGTGACGGAGCATATAAATTCGTGTTTAGCCTCGACCAAGGAGGACTCAGGTATCCACGATCTGCAACTGTCTTGCTGTGCAAGCATCGTCTGCGCACCTTTGTCGAGAAGGCTCTACAGTCGGCAGAGATTCGTCGTTGTGAAGGAATTCGCGAGGTCCTCTCGTTCGCTGTTCTTCCACACCTTATGAACTGCCCGCTGGTGTAATGTACTAACTGCAGAGACCCGTTTCAGCGAAGAGCTCTGCAAGCTCTTTCTCAGGAAGCTCCTCGGAACTTTCTTGGCAAACTGGGCTGGTGACCTAAACAGCTCCTTAGAGAATGTATTGAGGTTTCCGCAGAATCCTCTTTCCCGAAATGTGCTCCGCTTGTGAACTATATGACTTTCTAGATCTGTTAGTGAACAAGGCAGTTTATATTGCTGCAGTTACACAGGGGGAATCTGTTTTTTATTGTCCTTCACAGATAAATAAAAGACACAACTCGAGCGTGCTCGAGCGTCGGTTAAAAGCGTAAATTATACGGCCTAGCTATATCCAACTATAACTCCTATATTAGGGTGGTAATAGAAACGGGGCAACACTTACGGGAACAATCAAAAACGACAATTCGCTCATACTGCCAGCTGAATGCGGCTCTAACGTGCAGCCTGCAGTGGGTGAGGTACTTGCAGAAAGAACCGTGTCCTTTAATTCTACACAGATTTGTCACATCATTCATGCAATCTGGCACCCGTTTCAATTAGACTTGCCGCTTCACGAGAGACAACCTAAATAAAAGGATAAAAGGCGCGAACAAACAGGACTAAAGAAGACACACGGACAGGTGCCGTACGTGTGTCTTTTTTCGTCCTGTTTGTTCGCGCCTTTTAATCAATATGAACCTTTTAATCAATATGAACCAACTAGCCCCAATCATAGTTGCATTGCAACCTAAATAGCCACAGCGGGCCGGGCCGGGCGGACTGCTCCTCCTTCGCCGATAACGAACGCCACGGCTGGCGCTGCGGGTTAAAATCGAACTATCGCTCTCATCGGCAGAGTGAGGCATACGGTAGGCCGCTCCCAAGGGAGCATCGAGCGGCCGCGCCCGTGGTTTCGCCGGCTTAGCACCCACCTAGCTTTATTGGTTTTATCGTCCGAGTACCTTTCTGGCATAATTAGCAAAAACGATTTGTTTTCATTGTTTCCTTTATCAGCAGTCTCATGTTTATGTTTTTAGGTGCCGTCGTGGTATCGCGGGATGACGCATTGTCACGTGACGTCTGAATCTCACGTTACGTCACAGTGTCAGGTGACGTCATGACATCACGTGGCGCACAGTGTCCCTTGACGACGTCATTAAGTCGCGTGGCGCCACTGTACAACGTGACTTGACATGACAATGTCACGTCATGGTGTCAGCTGACATCAGGTAACATGTGACGTGATGCGCGGCGTCACGTCAGAATCGTGTCGAGCTGCGTGACGTCAATATGGAATCTTTTGGCGGAGTGCCGAAAACGCCCACTTGGATATGGAGCGCGGTCGATGGCGCGAAACTTGCCATGTGTCCCACTAACTGCTATCGCAGTAAAAGCATGACGGTGTGCATTCCTGCTGGATGTTGTTACCGCAGACCCTTCTCATGGCAAACGCCGGCAGGCGGTGCTCCAGTCTTTGACGTCCCAGGGAACTTCCTGTTTATAAAAAAGAATGAACAGGGCTCCACCTAGAGTTTTTGTGTATAGCTACCTACGGTAGCAGAGTTGCGCATTCAGCCTCGGCGGGTGGCCGTAGCGCCGGCTTTCCTGCGCGGTCCTGGATGCATTGCTCGTCGCGTGACTGAATTCGGCGAATGGCGGCGCCGCGCATGGAAAACAGGAAAGGGGGGAAGGAGGCGAAAGCAGGGGAACATACGCCGGGACGCGTGCAACGTCGGCGAAGCGACCGTAACGGTGGCTTTTCTGCACGGCGGTGGATGCTTTGCTCCTCATGTGATCGTTCTCGGCGAATAGCGGCGTGGCGGCGCGGGGAAAACAAATGCGCAATTCTGCTCCCCTTTCAAGGGAGCATATCGAGGAACTCTAGGTCCACCTTAACGCCGCTGCTTGAAATGTAGATGAAATGTTTAACCACTCATTCTCCAGATAAACGCCAAAACAACGAAGAAGCGCGAGATCTGTTAAAATTGTCAAGTATTCTTGTAAACCAACTTCTCTCTTCAAGATGTAATATTGTACAGCCGAAGGCCCTCGTTAAATGTTCATCCTTTATTGTCCGTGTAGCAGCTATGCTTTCTAGCACTAATGGCATAAGCAAGCCCGACTGGCTCGCAAACACGGAGCGACCGGAAGTCGATTGGAACGCGAGCGACAGTTGACGTCTGTAAACAGCAAAAGGATCTCCAACTAACATCGAGTATAGCCTAAAGCCTGGGTCACACTGCTTATACATCATATAAACGACGATCTGCATACAGATCCGAACGCGAGTCAGCGCGAGATCCGTGCTTCGAATGCCGTGGGGCAACGAGTTCAAGAAGAAAACTTTTTTGGCACGTGGAATTCGAATTACGGATATCGCCGTGACTGATGTCGGCAAACTGCCTTTTGTATGGTGTATAAGCAATGTGACTCCGGCTTAAAGCCGCACTGCTCATACGCCATACAAAACACACGATGTTCGCTGCAGGCATGATGAAAGAATTAACTCCCGGACATGCCTCAAGCATTTGCGAAGCATGTTTGCTTCCTACATGTTTCGACCGTAAATGCAGACAGTTTTTGTATGACAAATGTGACAGGAGACCGTCATACAAAAAAGGAAGGCGCCTCAGACATCGCATGCAGACTCTCTTTTGGCAGGTCATTAGAGCTCCCGTTGTCACGAGTGTTGACTTTTCGTAGGATGTTTCCGTACAAGTTTTTCAAGTACAAAAAGACCAGGATAAACGATGCGGTCGTCTAATTTCCTTCGAACTCTACTCGTCGAGTATGACGACCTGACGGCAGAAGGCACAAACTAACATAGTCCAGCACTTCTTAAAACTGTACTCACTTAGCTGCGTATTCGACAAACTTTTGCCCGAGATGGACTCCGTTCCCGCTGACAGTGCAGTGGAGGCTACGTGGTCGCCAAACCAGTTCACCACCTCCCATTCATCACCTGACCTCACTCTTTGCGCGTGGGTTTGGATGAGAGCGTGACCACGTGGCGAAAGATAATGACTGATCCAACGAGCACGTAACTTCCACCGCATTGTCCTCTTAGGGGTGAAGAGGCTATACCTCTCTCTTACTTTTCAGATTTTGTCTGAGAGAGACCAAGGCGGATCCCATTCATGGTGCATGGTTAAAGATGCCGCAATCGGAACTGTATCTATTCGATTTGTTTAACTGGTTTATGACACCATCCCATCTCAGACCGGACATAACTGTATCTGAAACTCTGAAAGAAAATCATCAACAGGTATCCATCGCCAACTGAAAACTCAAAATTCGCTTCCGTGTATAGGCACGTGTGTCTGTACAAGTCTTGCATCGCCTTTCTGAGCTCATTACCGCTCATTGTTTTATGCATCTCAAAGCTCTGCTGACTATACTTCGTTCACCATTAAGCTGAGACTAGAAGCTCCGCCTTCAGCACTAGCTCTCTGGCTTCCGCAGGGCTCTGGTTGCGTGTGCCTGCTCGTCCACACTTGTGTTAGCAATGGCAGAAAGCTCGCGCTGAAAACGGTGCTTCTAGTCTCCGGCTCTCAGCTTAATGCTGAACGGAGCTTAAAAGGCATTTATCCTACTACAGGTGAAAACGTAATCATTGATACTGTAATGAAGGACCCGGCATCATTTAAACAGGTTATTTTTGGGGGTCCTGCAGGAAAAGCGAATTCATGTAACATGCGGGTGCAGTCGTCTGTTTTTGAAAGCAATGTGATACAAGCTCAGACATGCGCTTCCACTCTAGCGCCCCCGCCAAGGTGGCTAATATTTATTAAACTGCGCAGATGTTACGCAAAAAACAAAAACGTAAGGGAAAATCTAAAGCAAACAAATTCCCCTTTCCTTGATCTGTCCTAGAAAACAACTACAGCGACAGACGAGGCACTGCACACACTGATTCACATGAACGATTTCCTTCACCATTTCAAAATTTATTAGTGTGCAACATATATTATACACACTATCGCGTGACATTACCTTACGTGATATCGTGTTAATAAAAAAAGCTGTTGGCAGATTGATTTTTTGTCTCTTCGTAACATGGTCAGCTGTTCAGACCACTAAACACGACACGAACAATTAATAATGGTTGTTGTCCTACAAAAAGAAATAATCACGCAATAATCGCGCAAGCCGGATTCGCATTCCAGTCACCGTAGCTTTGCGAAACTGCGGTTATACAGGGTGCCACAAGCGGATCGTCAGCTGTAAAACGAGCCGGAAAAACCGCCGCCTGCACGTAGAAAGCTCACACTTTCACCGAATGTCCACCGAGCAGGTCAGTTTTACCCTGTGAAATTTTAAGGCTTAGTTCCCTTCCAGTAAAGAACAATAAGAGTAAAAACAAATCGCCAAAGTCCACGTTGGGCGCTGTTGCAGACGACCGAGTTAGTGACGCTATTTACATGTTGCGCCATCTCGAGCAGAGGATGCACTCTCTTGTCTGGTTGTGCCGCCCTATATACATACAGCTGGAACGTAACTTACGCCAAGGATAATTTCACTTTTTCTTTTCGATGTCCTTGCAGGCAACTCCCGAGCAGGGTGAGCTACTGCTCGCTTTGTGCTACAAGGCCAGCCACGAAAGGCTCACTGTGACCGTGCTCGAGGCGAGGGGGCTGACCGCGCCTCCCGAAATGGGACCCCCCGAAACACCACTGGGTGAGTGAGCTGGGGCGTTCTTTGTCGTACGGGACTCAAGCCTTCCTCACGTCCCCGCACAACCTTTGACTTGCGTGTAAGTTCGCTACGTTCTACGCGATTCGCCCGAAAGGCCTTTCACCTGACAAAGCCCGGGCGTCTACTTTTCCCGCAGAGTACCGGGTGCGTGAAAGAGAACAGAAGTCTGCTTTTTTCGCCGCAAAAATAAAGCGCTCATTGCCGAACGCTCAATCTCCGCCCAAATTCATCTCATGCGATTGGGTCCAGATGGCTAAGCTTCAGAACTTACAATTATCTTATTTCAAGGTTACACGCGCTTCCCCAAAACAATTTCAATGAGGAAATGGCTGCCAACAGGGTCTACGAAAATGCATGAAGACAAATAAGTCTGCTAACGGGAATGGGCCCGATGTTTTTTATTGAAAATTGCTACAAACCAAACTTTTAAGAGAAAAAGAAAGACGCTAATTGATGAAAGTATGATCTGGTTCTAACAACTAGCGTTTCACCTGCGAGTTAATACGTGCGATGAGGAAAACATGGTTGTCTTTTTCATTTTTTCGAAACGCCCAGTGCATACGAGGAGCCAATTGCAGGATTTTTCCGAACGAAAACAGCGAATTAAAAATGAGATTGGTTTCTTGGTGTAATCGTTATCGCCTGTTCTTGTGCGAAGCGCGTTTGCTAACTGCGTCGTTCTGTAAAGCAGTCTCGAAAGAAACTACTTCCAGCTGACTTTAGATGAACGCTTGAGGTGCCATTTTCTTCCTCCTCTCTTTTTACAGTTTCATCACGACAGCGTTAATTGACGCCAAATTAAAAAAAAAAAAAAAACTCGTTGCATTAAAAAAAAAAAGAGAAAACATTGGTAATGGGCGTGTTAAGTACATATTGTTATAACTGTTTCTTTATCGCTGGAGTCAAATCATGCACGTTTAATTTCTCGCGAAGCACTGGGAAGAACCAATCGCTGCAATCCTCGGTGGATGACCAGACTGAAAATATGTTTAAAAAAATAAAATAAAACATGGTTTGCGCTATGATAAGCATGACGTTTCGCCGTCATCAGTTGTCATAGCGCAGGCTGTTTCTTAGGTTTAACATAATTTCAGCCTCGTCCTTTGCCGAGCTCCCTCCGTGGGTCGCAGCGATTGGCTCTGCCAAGTGCTTTGTGGGAAAGTTGACGCTCTATTTTTTTTAGAGCGTTGCATCTGGCCGAAAAATCAATCAAAGTGGAGATCGAAGGTTACTGAGCACGCCAGTTGCACTCTCGCGACTGTGACACCGTGCTTCTGTCGCCGAGGTCCAATCGACGCGCTCCGATTACGTTCGGCTCCAATTATGTGTTGCATGAGTCCTTGAGACCCAAGGGGCCCTAAACTCGTTAAAAACAAAGTTGAAGCTGAAATTTCGCGGAACGCGCCGATTCGACGTCGGCGAAAAAAGCGCGAAGTCATCCTCGTGATTGGCCAATCAGTGCGTTCCGTCAACTTCGGCCTCAACTTTGTGTCTGACGAGTTTAGAGGCCCTAGAGAAGATTGTTACCGCCGAATTCGGAAACCTCACTCAAACTACACTCAAACTGAAGGGCCCCTTCACTTCCTCGAGGAAGGCGCAAGGGCCGGCGCTGGCCAATCGCGACGGCGGATTTGTCCTCGCGATTGACCAGCGCCGGCCCTCGCGCCTTCCTCGAGGAAGTGAAGGGGCCCTTCAGTTTGAATGTAGTTTGAGTGAGGTTTCTGAATTCGGCGGTAAGTCTACAGAAAGGTGACTCTTTTGTCAACGACGCAAGGTTGTGTATTTTCAGGCTGGTAGAACCAGATAACTAAGACACTTGATCACCCGTGCTGAAGATGAAGATTCTTGGTTCCCGACAGTATCACTTCCGTAACCAGTATTTGGACGATATGATTTCCTACTCTTAATAACATACAGGGAGCTTATTTCTACGTTGAACTGTTTAAAAAATAAACACCTTAAAATTACACTAATACGGTTTATGCAGGTGAGTTATACGATCAGGAGCCTATAATATAGGGGGCTAACGCCTACGGTAAGTCATGTAACTAACTACAATTTCTTAGTTAACCTGCCTTGCTCCAATTGCTGCACGAGTTGTATCTTTAGCTCTCCACCGTACTTCGGACGTGTTCCAACTATTTCTAATATTGGCCGATCTAGTGGTTTTTGATGACGCTCAGCGAGTTTCTAATTAGGACCACGTGGTTATTTTCAATAATTAAAAAGTTAATTAACCTATTTTAGTCAATTAGCAGACTCATCGTTACGAATAGCCCCCTCTACTATGTCCCTCGGCATAGAAACTTTGTCATATTCACACAGGTCAGAAGACTAATGAATGTAGCAGATCAGATCTTATAACAATGCATGATATACAGAGAAAGCAAATGAATTTTTCCGTCGTTACACTTGCATGAATCAGAGAACAACGAATAGTAATTCTGGTGATGACACTTTGCCATAAATAATATGCCGAGATATACAGACTTTTTCATGCTGTTTTGTACTAGGCATGTGCGAATAGTGGATATTTAGTTCGAAGCGAATTCGAAGCGAATAGCGGTTTTAGCCGAATATTTTAAAATCAAATATTGAATTGTCTCACCATGGTTTTCTCTAGTACACCGTGCCTAAACAAAATCCCACCTTAACTTGTAAAGGTTTTTCACAAGCTTCTATTTGTTCATATCTAAGTTAAGTTAGTTTTTATGTAGCTATAATTATGAAGCGAGACCTCAGAAATTCTATTGCCTACATTAGAATGGCAAGTAAACGATGCATTTGACATAAATCCTCTTGCTCTATGCAAATATTTTTTACTAAATCTAGAATATGGGAAATAAAAAAAAAAGACATTCATGAATGACGAACTGGCTTGTCAAAATATATCTGCCTAATAATTACTCTTGCATAATAGCCAGTTTGATTTTGAAATTTTTACTGTAGTGTAAGTATCAACATTCGCAAAGTTTCAGTTTCTTTTCACACACACCACGTGCGCGCTTGCACCATCCCGTTTTAAAAAGAGGCTTTCCTCTGAAGAACGTAACTCCAATATTTGCACTTTTCGAAGTGTTAATTGCGGCGGGTTAGCCGCGTTGAGCGCGCTTCTTATCGAGCACCTGCGCACTGCGGAGAATCAACACCCGTGGAAGCGAGCTCTGCGGATGTTTTTTCTCCTCGGTGCACCGGTGCTCGGCAAGAAGCGCCCCGACAGGTCGAACCCGCCGCGATCAACACTTCGAAAAATACGAATATTCGAGTTAATCTCCAAACGAATATCGAATAGCGCATTATTCGAAATTACTATTCGCAAGTTTGAATATTCTTACAACACTACAGTTTTCTTTCGTTCTTTCTGAAATATTCGTTTGCGTTTTCGGTGCGTGTCGCAAAGCCAACTTCTTTACGACCCTTTTTTGCGTTAATAGCACCGGGTTGCATGCTGGGCGTCACTGGAAAGACCGCGGTCATCCGCGGGCCGGCCGGAACGCCTCCGCGGCCCGAATCAGGCCTCCAGGCAGGGGTTGGGAGACCCCTGCACAATATTATTATATTAACTCTATGCTTCCAACACTGTGAAGAGCCGAAGCGCGAGCAAAGAGAAAGAGAAAATACGGCGCTCCTTTACTCGCGTGTGAAATATCGTCTTTTTGATTTCCTAGTGCTCGGGTCTTCGCAGTGCTGCCATACATAGTTCGAAGCTCTTTGAGTACATTAAACAAAATCAGACAAATAACATATAAAACGAAACAACATCAAAGCGGATATCTAACCAAACTAGCACGCACGCTGTGAAAAAAATAAAAAAGAAGAAGATCCAATTCATAAAATGAGGTTTTGTCCGGTTCGCTCAAAGAGAGAGGCGTTCGAGATAAACGACGGTGAAGTGGTGTGCCTGGATTTGAGAGTATTTCCAATCGCTTCATCGGAGTCACGTGGTATATGAGCAACCTTTACAACGCGAGATGCGAGGAGGAAGCGAACGTGTCGATCGTCCGCAAGCGTCTCTAGCCTTGGCCTTAGCCTCTGCGACCGGTCATCCTCCTCGCCACCGGCCAACTCACGTGTGCGCACGAGAAACCAATCTGCACAGAAGGTGCCTGCCATCAAATGGACCTTTTCCGAGAAGCGTTCTGCGCACGCGCGAGCGCCCGATGCCAAGCGGTGGAAGTCGGCACGAAAAAATCGAGGAAATTCGGAATGAGGCTGTAAATCGACGAGTAGAACACGTAATTGCAGCATATATATAATTGTGTTACACAAAAAAAGAAAGTGGACGGAAAGAAAAACATGACGTTTGGGTGGACGCTACGGATTTCCTTCTTTAAAGTCGCGCTAGGCCTACCTCGTTGCGTTGGGCACGCGACGCTGCTCAGAGAGCGAAGCAACTGGTAACGTAGCTCCCATTATCGATGGTAGCGCAGGTAGGTCACTTCCTTGATTTTTAGTTCGTGCAGCCACCGCCTGGTGCCGTCGGTATTTGGAAAAGGTCCATTGCTAGCGCTCTCCATCGTACGAATTGCTCCCCCTCTCTGAAATCTGGGCCCTCTGTGGCGGGCCGAACCTCGTCGGCGGCGAGCGTTTCATGTCGGCGATGATGCGCCAGACGGGCTGCAGCAGCACTTAACCGACTCCCCGCAGAGCCGCGCGCTCCGACTGAGCTGTCGCAACACGCCAGGCGTCCGTCACGGCTCTTTCGCAGCAAGCACCAGCCGTTCTTTAGGACCTCTGCCTTGTGATGATCTTTTTGCGTCCTGCACATTGAGTGGGTTCTCGGTTGTGCAACGGTCACTTTTATTCGAGGGTGCTCGCTACGAAACGGCTTTGTAAAACTGGAGGCATTGTCGTGCGTGTAATGTTGCGTTAAATCAATCGAAAAATTGTTCCCGCCGAACAAACAGCACGCAGCGCCGAAACTTTTAAATGGCGTTGATCAGATAATAGGTATCGCTCTGTCGGAAAAACAGTGCATGTTC